GTATTATTGACAGCATGCTAACAAGGGCATCTTATTTTAGAAACTTTGGTAGCTTCAGAGTTTCTCCAAAGAGCATCTATAAAGTTAGCGAGTATCTCTTGCACGTGGAGAGCAAGACCACACTAGCCCAAGATGCTCCTGGGGACGGGGGAGAAGGAAGAGCGCATTTAAGCGATGACAGAGGTCTTCCTTCAGACTACTGTTGTACATGAACAAATAAGATGAGGCATACCCTGAACTTTTTGCTATTTGGGCAACTTTTGAAGCTAAGCATAGTGCAATGTTAGCCAAAACAGAGAACAGGTGAATGAGGAAGATAAGCACCTTGTCAAAAAATAGCTTGGTTCCTTCTCTTCTTTTCAGATGGAATCTTTCTCAACTCTTTCTTGTTGTTCTTTCCCAATTTCCCTATCTCTAAACCAAAAGCAGCAGTCATCTAAATGAGCCTTTACTTAACACTGCTTCTCTCAATCTTGATTCATCCTAATTTTAGTGTTCTGTGGCCTTAACAGCATACTGTTACTCTTACTGTTTTTACCCCTAAAGACTCCCTGTCCCTAAACATACACCAGAGCAACGAGCTGGAAATGCCTGTGTGCTTGATAAACTTTATACTGCTGCTCAGTACCATAATATGTAAGCATCTTAATTTAGTGGGATAAATACAGACTGATTCTAGGCTTTTGACATCATTCAGAATAGGAGGAGGAAGAAGTAGTGGGAACAGAGCCTATCACTGATTTAAGAGAAATGGAGCTGAAGGCTTCTCTGTTCCTAGAGCTGGAGGGGAAAGGAGAGAAGGGGAAAAATATGCTCGAAGTAAACTATGCTCTGGCTGTCACTCTGGCTCCGAAAGTTGAGGGCATTTCCCCCCACCACCCCATCCTCTTGTGCACTTCACATAAGGCTTACGCTTACCCCATGCCTTGCTTGAGTCTAAGCCAAGTGGCCTGAAAAAGCCACGCCTCTCACCTTTGGACTAGGTTGGCGTAGCTGCCGCCTTAGGATTTGCTCTGTCCTTCTGTCTCATGCTGGGCTAATTTAGCCTCATCTTGGTAAACAAGAAAATGGTTCTCATTCAACAGATTTGAGCTGGAGTGACTGCAGCTGTCGTCTGGCCTCTGTGCAAACCGATTTTGTTCATTCCCTTGCCTGGCAGGAAGCCTGCACCAGAATTGTGTCGGGACTAATCAGCATTAAACCAATGTCAGGAGGGCTGCGGAAAGCTGCCCTGTAGCAAGGCAAGAGCAACAAGGCTGTTCAGGAGGGATTAGCGTAAGCTCTGCCTGGGATGCAGCTGTGCAAGAAAAGGCACAGAAACTGTACAGAGTATTCTTCTCAGGCCTTGTCGTGGTGAAAGTCCCTAGCCAACTGCAAAAGAGTGGCTTCACAGTGAGTATCACACAGGGAAATCGTCATGATTTGCTGCACATGGCCACAAGCACAAAAGCAAGAGAAGGTGCAAAATCCCTGCAGCTGTATCCTTGTATGCCTATCCAGGAAATACAGGGGGTGCTTCTAAACATGCTGTGTTTTATTCTCCTGCAGAAGCAACGCAGGGGAGAATAAGTTCAGTGTGTGGTCTCTGGTCAAAAAATGATGCTAGTGGTGCTGCTGCTGCTCTTGTATGCGGTACAGTGATAGATCTGTTAGTAAGACTGGGAGGTAGAAATATTTCTGGTGGAAGACCTGAGGCTTTGCAAAGGGTGATTTGCAGTTCTAATTGCTTAAAGTCTTTGTTTTCTTGCCTGGTATTTACGCTGCAGGTTCATAAGTCCATTCTGATTTGTACTGAAAGCATTAAATAAGAGAGAACCTGACTTCTGGTTTTTATTCTGGAGATGCTGGGATGCCAGTGTCTCACTCTGCTCTCCCCTCCCTATAGCCATTGAATAGTCTTTGCAGTTCTTCCTTTTGAAAGTGATTTCTGTTTCTCTCTGTTCTGAGCAATATGATTTAACTTAGAAGTCGCCTCTGCTTTTCATGGGGGACTGGACCAGATGATTTCCAGAGGTCCTTTCCAACCTAATTACGCTGATACCCTGAATCCTGATCACCCTGCTATCAGAGATACGCGTTTTTGTTAATGTTGTGCCTAAAATTCTCTAATTTCACCTCAAAATCTGTTAGGGCTCTGTCTACCTGTGTAGTAGATGAGTATCAGTCATCCCTGCTGGCTGTAACTAATAACCACATATCGATTGTATCTTCTTATATTGCCCAAAGTGGACACAGCTATGCTGTAGATGCCTTCTAGTCCTCCTAAACTTCTAGGTAACTCTATGTCTGTGTAGAGTTACACTCATGTCAAAACTGATGTCGAATACAAAGCTAAGCACACGTGAACTTTTGAACCTTGTCTGTGCCAAGTGTTAAGCGTGTTGTCATGGGTTGGGAAGCTCATTTAGGGAGAGCAAGCAGACCTTCTGGTCTAGGATGTCCCAGTTAATTATGAGCTACACAACTTAAGAAATCCTCCTTCTTAGGGAAAAATCATCATCAACAAACCTGTCTCCGACAAGCTTTTGGAGACCCAGGAGTAGAGCAGCTTTCCGAGTGCTGTCATCACTGGGAAAATCCTGCAGGTCTCGGTGAAGAGGCCCCTGAAGCAGCCAGCCCTGTCCTTAGTCATATGTGAGTTAGCATGGACAGGGATCGTGGGAAGATCCATGCCTTGTGTTTCTTTGGGCATGAGCGTGTGCACAAGACGTAGTGCTGTGTTACCAAAGCTGATTTAAAGCCTGAGCTGCCCGAAGCTCTCCGCTGAGGTCTCCAGGGTGGCATCCAACAGCACTGTGTGTTTGGCTGCATACAGGGGCTGCTAATGAGACACAACAGTAACTGCTGCCAAGTGAGCTTTCTGAAACACCGCTTTCCTAAAGGGAGGGGAAATGGGATGGAAGATGCTCTTAAGCAAGAGTAAAAGGTAAAAATCCTGCATTTCAAAAAGTTTGGTATCTGCTAGGCCCTCAGAAATGACCAGCCTTTCAAAGGTGCCTGCAGTGTTGACCCCTTGGTTACTGTAATGTTTGGTCCCAACCGTGAGTGTGTGGAAAAAATATATATGAACTTCTCAAACTCTCCTATGTCAAATTTCTTTGCCGGGTGGCCCAGTCAGGGGTAAGAGGAGACCTGGCTTGTATGGGAACGCTGCCTGTGCCGCAGGGGATAGCGCAGGCCCTGGAGAGCAGTGGGGAGGCCCTATCTCCTCTTGCTCCGCGTGCCTGTGCTGCAGAGTTGACCTGACCATTCGGTGCAGAGCATGCCTCCTTTCAGGTTGCTTTTATTTTATTTTTTTAAAGACTTGTATTTCTTCTAAACAAATTACCAGTTTTTCCAAACCTCTCTTTTGGTGTACAGATCTTCAAAAACGAATTATCCAAGTGCAGTGTTACGCTTCGATTCTGGGGGTCTACTTCTTGCACTTAACCACATGAGTTATTTCGCTCTGCTGAAAGCCAGTAAATTCCAAGTGGTTACCCTCACGCTGGCAGCTCTTGCCATTTCTACACGGGCACGCCCTCATTCTTTTTAACCTGGGCCATTTGACAAGTTTGAGGCACCTTCCTGCGGGAGCGCAGATGGCAGTTAAATGGATACTGGAGCCATTTCGCTCCTACCTTGGTGGTGACAAACCGGCTTCCAGGAGAGAGCGGTGAGGTTGTCTGTGCAAATCTGTTTCAACAGATCTCTTGCCCCTTACAAATGTGGAAGAGATTTGACGTGCCCTGTGACAGCTAGCGCTGCAGTCTAAGGTTTCACCTGCTTCCTCTTACTGTCCTGCTTGAAGGTTACGGCCAGGGCGCCTCTCTTGTCCAGGTTTAATGGTTTCTCAGTTTCTAATGCTCTTCTGGAGCTGGCACGTCTCCTGTTAGGTAAATCCCTTCTTGGCTTTGTGGGTTTTTTGTTTTTCTTTCCTTGCCTTGTACAAGACTTCAAATGTCATGATTGTCTATTAAAGGGGGCTTTTTAGCATTTGGTGACCTTTTGAAGTTGTGAGAAGATGGGGGAGGAAACAAGAAGCAGCACTTTTGGGAGCTGAAAAGGTCTGCTGTATAGGCTAGAAAGGCATGCTGGTGTCATAGAGTTCAGGCTGTGAAGAAAGTGCTAGATGAAACACGGCTGAAGTCCTGTTGAACCTGCCTGCATGAAGTCGTGGCTGGAGATCCTTTTTTCATGAGTGTAAAAGGGATCATCCAGAGCTGACTCCCAAACTTGTCCTGGAGGAGCAAGACTGGCCTGCAGTACATGGCTACCTCTTCTGTCTCCAGGTATCCATGACAAGTGGGGAGCTGCTCGGGTTTGTCAGGGAGTTAATTATTCATCATCTCACTGAGAAGAAGGGCTCTTCAGGAAAACCTGGCCTGGTGCAGCTCACTTATCCACCTTAACTCGAAATCCTCACCTGGGTCTCTTCTATGTGTCCATCTCATACAGAGCAGGGATTGAAAGAAGGGGATGACGTGGAATTGAAATGTCTGGAAACACAGCAACTTCTAAGTTAAAGTGATCTGACTTGCATATTTTGCTTTGTAAATAATGCTGGGAAAAAAAGTTTTAGTCAAAAACTCTTCTGATTAAAATTAGGTATTATAAAGTAAAAAACACACACACATACATTGGCTTTTCTTCCTGTAGTGTGCTAATATTGTAGTGCCTAGCTTTCCTTGTGCTCTGCATGAGGTAGGTGAGCTGGTGCTTAGAAGTTCATTTTGTAGGCGTGCAGAAACTGAGTTGTTTTTTCAGTTTTTGAGGTGCTATGTTTTCTTTGGACTTGAAGGTATTCCCTTGTTGTGGGAGCAGTGCTAGCGTGCCCCCTTCCTCCTGCTCTCCTTCACCTGCTCATTCCCACCCTCCGACAGTTCTGAATAGATACAGTGAATTTGGATCAGGAAACTAACCCAGCTGAGGGGTGGAAAACATGCGTTACTCCCTGTTCTTTGTCCCCTCCATCCCTCCCCCAGGGATGATGGGGTGATGATCCAGCTGAAGGATCACCCATGCGGTTCCTCAATAGAAAACCTGAGCTGGTAAAACAAAACATTGATGCGGGGCTGAGAATAAGGAGAGGTGAGAGGAGGAGTCAGGAGCTTCTCGCAGTGCCTGGAGCATTGCTGCGGCCGCTCAGCATTTTTGCAGAGCGCCGACACTGCGCGTTGCCAGCTGGGCAGCAGGTGATTACCAGTGACCAATTGTATGGGGCTGAGGCAACGTGTGGTCACTTGGAAGTTGTACACCGCTAGGAAGTAATTCATTGCAGTGTTCCCTTTGTAGCCACTAAGGTTAAAGCTGGAGAGGAACTTGTGTGATTTCCTCCCCTTTTTTTCCTGCTAATTACAGATGTAGACTGTTCTTAGAAGGCACTGTAGGAATTGCTCGTTGGGTGTCTTTGCAGTAGTTTTGTATTGTTGTGTGACTGGAGGACACTTCTACTGTAGTTTGATTACTCAACTAGGACTGCATAGGGTACAGTCTTTCTCCAAAGGGCATGATTTCTAAAATATCAGGTAAGAGGAAGGTTAGGGAAAGAGGAAAAAAATGACCTTCTGTCAGGACAGACCATGTATTGAAATATGTGCTTTTGCTTCTACAGGTTGGCACAAGGTTGTGATTATATGCGTTTTCAAAGCAGAAACTAGAAAGTTGTGGGAAGCACAAGTTGCTTGAGACGATGTTGATTGCATGGATTCTTAGACATGCCCTGACAGTTCAGGGAGATGTAGCAATGTTTTCATTTGCCTAAGAAAGTGCAAATCTCTATCACAGAGGCAGCCTGGATACCTATTGCAGAGTCATGTGAGTCTAAGCATATTATCATCTGGGTAGTGCAAGGCTGAGCAACCACACCTTGAGCCAAGTTGCAGAAGGAGCTATACCTATACAGAGCTCGCATTTGGCTTGTGATTAAGTCGGCTGCTCTAGCTCTATCACTGCGGCAAAACCCGTCATCTTCTTAGGCATGGAGGAAGCAGTGAGACTTACGGGAAGCTGATATGGGATAGTGCCCTGGTAAGATTTCTTTTTTTTTTTTTTGCAAGGGCGTCCTCCACCCTCACTGCAAAGCAGAAAGTGTTGCTAGCCCGGATGAAACCAACCTCAGCTCTAACCTACAGCCTGACCCGGCTCAGTCCACAAGGGAATGGTGGGAACTGAGCGGATGTGGTACCACCTGGATAAACACGCCAAAGTCGGACAGTTCAGATCTCAGCGGCACGTGGCAGCAGGATATTCCCTAATCCTTGGGGAGCGGTTAACCAGCAGCAGCACGAGAACTGGAGCAGTATTAATTTTATAGCTTACTTAAAATAGCCGTTTGCTCAAGCTGTGTATAAATTGATATGCTAATGACAGAAAATATAGATTTGGATAGAAGTTCAGTGTGTATTAAAATAAATCATATTCAGGCTGTCATAGTGGTATGGAAACAGAGTAAGCCTTGCTGAAATCAAAGCCCAGGGTGGAGTCCTATTTTAACAAGCAGACATTTTCAGAGGCAAAAGTGTATTTTTTGGAGCTTGGTTGCTTTTGTTGAAAAATAGGCTGAGCTGGAAATTCAAATGTTCTGTAATTCTGTCATGACCCTTGAATTTGTAGCTGTAAAATCTATGTAAGTGCTCAGATTCCTTTAATCTGGTGTACATACATACTCTTGATTTTTAAGAGGGAATTCTGTTCCCTGTGGGCATTGCCTATTTCTGTGAAGACTTTGAGACTAGCCCCGTTGGACTGCTTCTCTGTGTATGTGTGTGTGTGTGTGAAGCCTTTGAAATATTCATTGTGGTCTATGGTAATCTAATATCAGTGAGTGACCTTGCAGTCCTCTTCAAGAAGATATTTTTTTTCAGTGAAATAATAAAACAACAGGCTTTATAATAAGGAAATATCCAGTAATCCTCGTGCTCAGCTATGCTTTACTTAGCTTATTGCTAAGTAGACTCACAGCAGTGTAATTGCTGAGATTTGCATTGTTCATTGTCACAGATATTTATAGTTTGGGTCTTTCCTTTTGTATGTGTTGGAGTGTTGGAAGCTTTCCTCTTCCTAAGAGGAGAAAATTCCTACATAAGTATCAAAAAAAAAAAAAAGTAAATTTGTTTCCTTCAGGTAAATATTTGACCCAGTATACACAGGCCTGTTAACCTTTGCATGGAAGAAGTATCCATCAGGGACTTTCTCGGTGTCTTTGTGTGTTACGTAATATATCACCAGAAGCCCCTGTCAAAGCCGGAGAGATATGCAAGCGCTTGCGTCGCTTTAATCCAGCATGAGCGTATCCTGTTTGATTTGAAATGGGTTTTCTAATCCTAGGGGAGCGCTGCAGGAACGCGTGACGCTACCGCGGCGTTATGAGGAATTACGCACCAGCTGGTGTCCAGGTTTTCGGACCGTCTCTGCCGTTGCTTAGGCAGCCTGGTTAGGCGGGAAGAGCCCCAGCTGCAGGGAGCAGCTTTTGAAGCTGTAGCGGAGCGCTCCTGCCGCTGCTCTCTGCCTGGGAGAGCCGGAGCGTGCACGCCTACGCAGTTGTGAACGCATGTGTGTGTACTCTTTCTTAAAGAGAATAATAGCCTTTAGTTGCTAGGCTTATATATTGCAGGGAGTATTAGTGGCTGGACTGTTGAGCCTTGTCTCTCTGCCCCAGAAACAACCCTCCCTAGTCTTGACTGAAGGAATAACGACTTCTTCCCCCTTGCAAAATGGTTATGCTCTTAATTGTTTTTTATAATTGCACGCTCCGATTTAGCTCTCCCACACTGTTATCCTGACAAGTGCCACCTTTGCTTGCAGTCATGTTGCTAGAGCCATACACTCCGGTAACTCTTTTCTGGTGTGCCTTTTCCTGTGCTTATGAGACACCTTCCAGACCTTAGTACGCTCAGAGAGGGTGGATGCTGAATTGTGTTCAACGATGAAGCAGTCTGTGACTAATCCAGCCTTGATCTGCTCAATATGAAATATTTGGCTTTTAACATATGCCGAAACAGTTATTGAACTCTCCAAAACAGCACAGCACGGCCTCTGCCATTACATGAAGTGTTCCACTTAATTCCACAAACTTCCCCTTTATGAGAGTGACATGTTATAAAAAATAACACCTGTTATTTTTGCATGAGATGTTTGTGCTGTGGCCAGAATGGCTCTTGCCTGCTTGCTGTGGTTATAAATGCTTTCTTTTTGAATTAGCCTTTCTGTAGTCGGTGACAACTCGCACTTACTTAAAAGTGAGAGCAACAATTACATACCTTCTACCTACGATTTTAGTGTTCCTGTCAACCTGGGATCCAGGCACTAAAAGATTAGTGGTAAAGAGGAAACGTTTGCTTAAATGCCAGATAATTTTAGGGCTATTGAGATCTCTGTTCTGTGCTGCTCCCATCTCTACTAGCAGGGCACTAAAACAACAGGCCAAATATACAGATGGGGTGCAAGTGGACTTCTCTCTCTTACGCTCTCCTTTTTGCGCCTTTCTCCAGTTCCTCCTCTAGAGTCCTGCTGACTCTGTGCAAACCTATTTTAGACCAGGAAAAGTTCCCTGCTCCTTTTAGTGACTCTCCCTGGTCCTTTTACCTTTAAGGTCTAAAAACTCCCAGAAATGTGTCCCGGTTGTTACACGGTATCTACTGCTCTGCAGAGGAATTTACAGTGGTGTGGCAGTGGAAATTTGAGGGGAGAAGGTGCAAGATGCTATTTTTCAGAGTTGAGCTTTGGCAGAGGAGAGACTCGTTGAGGACAGAGCCCTTTGCACAGACCTCTGTTTGCCTCTTTGGGTTAGACTTTACCTTCACCTCTGAAGAGATTTTGCTGATGAAAGTGGAAGGCATATCCTGAGGTTTAAAGTCGGGTTGCTGGAAGAGCAGGCCACCCCAAAATATCTTGGAGAGGGAATTTGGTAGGAGCCTTGAAGTAGGATTTTGAGCGGATTTGTGGTTAGTAAAGCACTTACAGAGCTGCCTCTGCTCCCAGGTTTCTGTGAGGATGTGTGGGACAAGGGAAGGAAGGACCTGATGTGCCGGGGCATTTGCGAGCTGATCCTAGAGACGGTTATTTTTTTGTCCCTAGCCTTCTCAATGAAGACCCAGCTTTACAGAGAGGCTTTGGCGCCTGATACTCTCCAGTGCATTAAGAGAAGCCAAAGGATTTGGTTCTGGGCTCCCTTTTGTTAGGGATGTGAACGAAATGTAGAGGCATGGTAGAAATGTTGTTGTGCTCCGAGTTTTCCATCTGGAGTACAGTCTGGATCCAGAAATGAAATTAGCAGTACGGGTCTCTGTCTTTGAATCTGAATCCTGACACTTTGTTGTGGTATGGTGACTGAGCCCTGGTTTAAGCCTTCTGTATTTTCACGAGGCTTGGATTCTGGCCACAAAACAGTCAGCAGTTATAAAGCATAAATCTGATTGTTTATGCTTTGTCGGAAATATATAAAGTTCTGTTGCAATTAAAAGAAAAAAAAGGTATCTAACTAGTCACGGTTTACTTAAGGCATAGAGAATATTTTTCATGTGCCTTAGGTGCGCAATTACTGTGTGCTTACAGCTTTTTAATGGCCCCTTGTACAAATTCATTGGCAGCAGCCTGATCTTCAGGTAGTTTCTTAGCGCGAATGGTTTTGATCAATACACAGAGGTTACTGCAGAGGTGCTGGTGGCAGAAGATTTTAGCTGAAGAGTTACAAAAGTTACAAGAATTGGTCTTCCTTTCAACATAATGATACTTGTTCCTCTTAACATAGTGTTTTAACGTTTTTAATTGACCGAACTCCATTGCTGGTTTTTTTTGAGCGCTAAGAGGAAATGTCTCACACAGCATGTTGTATAAATCTTTTGTTCTTCCAGTAGCAGTTTTGCACACAGCAGAAGCTTTTACGGAGATATGTTCATCTCCAATTACTGTAGTCCAGTTGGGCTCAAGCGTGTGAGAGTATCTTCCGAACCGAAACGGTTTCTGGAGTGGTTTTTGACCTAGCAACATGGCAGCTGCGTGAGCCGCGGTCCTCGCTCCCCTCTCCGCTCGGGGTCACTCGGAGCCTGGCCTGCAGGCGCGTGTGACTTCTCAGGATGTGGAAAGATTTTTGGCTTTCCTTTTTGTGAAAAGATGCAGTCATTGAAAACCGACAGAAGACCGGCTCTTGGAGACTGACGCAAGGACAATCTTTTATTGGCAGTGGCTTGAACGGCAGTTTCTCAATAACCCTTGAACAATGTCAAGTTTGTGCCACACAAGGGAGTGTTTCTATTTCACGCCAACAAAAGAGCTTTCTTGACTGCAAGTTGCAAAGTTCTCTCCCTGCTGGACCCATCAAACACATATATAACAAAGCTTTCGTAATGCTTAGCAGGTGCAGCCTTTGACAGGCAAGTGTTGCCTTGCAGTAAATCCTTTGATAAAGGGTATAAAAAAGCGTAACTCCGTACAGCGAGGAGCTAATTCTGCATCCGCCCTCTCTAAATCCGCCTCTCCTGCCCTGCTGGTGGGATCAGGTGTCTGAAGGACTTGGACGTGGGCAGGCTCTGCAGGGAGCGGGGAGAGGCCATCCCTGCCCCAGGTGTGCGGGCTACAGGTAGATTGGGGGTTTTGCGGTCTGAACCAAAAAGGTTTTTTTTCCAGAAAGAAGGGATAACTTCCCTCTGATCGCTGCGGTCTGTATATCTGGAGAGTGCTAATGTATGTAAAAGATAGCATTTTGCAGGCTGGCTTTGAAGTGGACGACTGAAAAAAAATGAAGTCCTTTGGATCTTTTCTTTGGCTGAGCACATCAAGGGATCAGAGACGCAAATTACATCAGAAAACAAGGACTTTCTTTAAAACAGAAGTGTGTATCGGCCAATGTAACAGTACTAAGACCTCAAGCTTGTGTGAGACAGGTACAAAAAAAGCCCCCCAAAAGCAAAACTGAAAACCAGACCTATCTGACTGCTCAAGCTGTGGGATGGGCATCTCTGTGTCCCGTTTATGTCAGCGTTGATTAGTGTTGAAAAAGATCCAGGACAAATTAAGCTTCTTTCTTTTCTTGTACTGATTTGCCAGCCACGCTTAAATACAGTGACAGAAGGTGTTACCAGTGAAGTTATTCTCACTCTGCTGTTGTAACAACACAGCTTTTGGAAACTGCCCTTAACTTCAAGTAGGAGAACACCTGCAACTTGCCGTCCTGATGAGTAAGGGCGTTCAAATCTCAGCGCGTGATGTGTGGAGTGAAATGGCTTTAAAAAAAAAAATCTATCTTAATAGAGCCCAATTTAAAAGATCTCTGAACATACTGTAACTAAAAAAAACTTGTTGTTCTTGTACTAAAAAAGCCCCAAAGCAAAATTTACTGGAAAATTCCCCTTCTTTTCCAGCATTCTTGCACACAAACCTAACCAGTAATGGTATGGGAATTTTAGGATGACAAGATTTTTTTTTTTGTTTTTTTCCCCTGTTCTCATCTCCAAAAATACCAACTGTGATAAAGCAGATCAGAGACAACTCTTGTTACCAGTATCCTGATGGAATAGAGGACAAAATCTATTTTAAGATTTTATATACATATATATATAGACATATATAGATATATAGATATAGAAACTGCTCTGTGTGTGCGTGCGTGTGTGTGTTTCCAAAACCAATCTGAGAATGTCACTGTGTTTTAACACAGAAATCTGTTATGTTTTAACTTGATTGAGTAAATGAGTAGGAAAAGAGCAAACATCAAGGGAGCCCTGTATAAAATGTCCTTTGCGTTGGGTACTTCATTCTGTATTCAGTCCATGGAGGGAGTTAAATTTGTGGAGCCAGGAGGGAAATGGATGTTACGCTGAACATGAAGCCACCTAAACTTCATAGCAAATGTGGTGGCCTCTGAAGCGCCCTTTCTTCCTTAACAGGTCAGCCTGAGCCTGCAGGCAAGTGCCCCTGTTGGCTCCCGAGCCCGGCTCCTCTCTCAGGACAGGCTTTGGCCTCTCTTTGCCTACGGAGCTGGCTGGCGCCTAGCGTGGTGCCGCTGATGGTGGTGGCACACGCACCCTGCGGTAGTGACCAGCCCCGCTCAGCAAGCAAGACCTGGCCTCCGTGGGAGACTTCCACATGGGCCTCCAGGTCTTCTCCTTTCCTGCCCCAAACTTGTTTCTGCTGGGGCAGGTTGATTTCTGTGTCCAGAGGGCTAGTGAATGGGCACCTAAAACCCCCCAGGACCCACTTCAGTAGGTCTGCTCAGAGCACGCCCTGTGCCTGCAGGATTAGGACTACTGTCCCAGTCGTCTTGGATTGCGCCTACTTTTAACGCAGCTGGTGGAAGGAAAGATGAAGCTGGGCTTTCCTTAGCAGCCTAACCATTAGCGTATCTCTTGAAACAGACTTGGATCCAGTCCTGTCCTCACCATGAATGGAAGATGCAAACTCATATTTCCTGCTTTGTTGGCAGCAGGCTAATCTGAGATGCCTTCTCCCTGAAGATACGATCTGTTATGTGATAAAGAATGCAAAGCTAATGGAGCCAGATTTAACACAGACATTTAGGATATTGGCTTAGGAGCAGGGGAGGAGTCTCAAGTTTTAGCCTGTCCTCGATTGTCTTTGATCAATGTGTGTATGAGTTAGAAGGGACTTAGGAGGGGTTAAATTTTCAGAGCTTAGGGCACATTTTTCATTCATGTGAGTTCCATCATTAATGTTATTCTGGGAACCGAGAGATGGATTTGAAACCCTTTGGTTTCATATGGTCACATACATTGCTCATTTGCTATGTAAGTTCTCTAGCCAAAAGGTTAACAGGCGGTTTAAAAATAATTAAGCTTAATTTAACTTTAAATTTTTGCTCAGTGTGTTTTCCAGATTGGTGCAAATGCTTATTCGTTCTGTAACCAGTATCCAAAATGAGCACTGGATTTGAGTATAAAAGTGCAATAAGGAGATAAATTTTGCCTGTACTTTATACAAACAGGACAGGCCAAAGATCTTTGGGACCTGCTCTCCGTATAACGCAAAGCGGTGGATCAGGAGTGTGTGCTTGGAAAATCAGCTTGGCAACAGGAAAGTCATGAGTGAATTCTGTATGTCTTCATTTCTAGTGAAAACAAAGGCCTGAGACATCGATAACAACTTTCTTCCCTATATTTACAAGTTTAGCTTCAGTTTTACACCTGTTTCAGTTTTCTGCTAATCAATTCAAGCCTCTGGGTCAGACTCCAAGGTATATGAGTGCTGTGCCTACCTACCCGTTTAGTAACCCCCCCTCCTTCCCTGCCCCCCAAAACAACCCCAAAACCCATATAACTTAAGCCATGACTTTTTTTTTTTTTAGTATGGGAGTGACCAGATTATGATGCAGTTTTAAACAAAGCAGACTGTGTAATTCATGCTTGTTTTCCCATGTGGCGGGATGTCTTTGTTGATCTGTTGGCGGCTGGGAGCGTGGCTATTTTGGGAAGCTGACAGCGTTGGTACTGTATAATGTTACTCTGCAAGCAGATAGGCGGTATTTTAATCAAGGTCAGAAGGAAGGGATGATGGGCAAACTAAGTTGCTCATGTTAGTTTTTCACCTTTTCTCTTTATTTAGACTTAAGCAGTAACTCTTTTAGATGACTAAATCTCTTTTTAAAAAGGATTGTTGAAATATTAAGCCCTTTCTGAGTGCAATTGTTTTGTGGCAATAACCATTGTGTTTCCCTACAGTGTCTTCGTATAAAGAACACGTTTGTAGCTCTGTACTTACACCTCTGTTGTTAATGAACGTCTGCCATTTGACTTCTTGTGCAGGGATTTCCATAACTTCTGTGGCTGCTTAGCTGTATGATTGGTATCGACAGCCAAAATACTGGAGCAGGTAGCAAAGCCAAAGAGCCTGCCCTGGCACATCTGGCTGTCCCAGCCAGGCTTCGTGCCCCAGCTGTAAATCTCTGCTGTTCGCTGCTTGCTCCTGTTGCGGAGGTGGTGGCTAGGTATAGGGAAGCTCAGTGCCTTAATTCCCTTTGAATGACAATTTTGGAAAGGACGTTTGGGGAGAGCTGTGCTGGCAGCATGTCGGTTGTAAAGGCGCTGTGGTTATTTGGTGGTTAACAAGGGCGGTCACCAGCTTTGGCTAACAGCTTTTAACCAGAAGGGTTTGGAGTCCTGATTGTGGCCGAAACTGAGACATGACTCTGTGTCAAAAATTAGATAAGCTTTTTGTATTCTTCTGGACTGGGAGCTTAAAACAAATGTCCTGGCAATCTGTTCCCACAACAGCTGCAGGCAATTGCTTGTTTTGTTCCCTTTACATTAATATTTATGCAACTTTTAAATTCAAACAACTCAAAACATGGGATGGAATAGCTTGACACCTGGAGTAGAAAACCATCGTCCTGCAGATTTGAATATGAGTTGTTTTCGGATGTCTCCTACAGGAACATGAAAATTATTATGCCAAAGCACAAATTCTAATCTGAAAATCTTTATTGAAAGTATTTGTGTCTCCTGCAGTGGGCTGCACTTCCAGAAAATAGTGCTTAACAGAGTCCTCTGGGCCCTCTAAACCAAGGGTGCCTTGATTATAACAGCTCATAAAGAGGGTAGGAGTGGAAATCTGCTGTAAATTTATATCTAGAAACTGAATGACTAGAGAGGTCTGGGATATTAATATATGCTTCAGGTTTGTAAAAATAAATTTAGCCCAAAGACGATTATGAAAAGCCTTTACGTAGCATAAGACTGGGACCTTTTTTTTTTTTTTGTGGTGTGGTGTCTTTGAAACATTTTTGCTTTTCTGCAGGAGCTGGGGTAGCTGTTATGGGAAGTTTATTCATCCGAGTTATAAATATAGAGCTTATCTATTTGAGTCTTTGCCTAAAAACACCCTATTATGAGACAGAAATGATGAATGTAACTATTAGGTACCTTTAAAAAGTCCTGAAAATGCAGTATTGAAAGTGTAGCAACATGTCTAACAGTATTATACTAAAGAAAACCTCCTAGTTTTGATTTGACATCAGTTAAATAATTTTTGCCCAAGTTTCACAGGCTCTGGAATGGCTTAAACATGAACCAAGCTGTCTTTCGTAATAGGGGAACTCTGTGGCAGTAAGCTGTTTGAAGTACTTAGAATTTAATCTTGTTGCTAATTTTGACAGGTATTTCCACAGTGTCTGTCAATGTGTTCAAGGACTTCATACTAATACAGTCACTGAAGTTTTTATTTATGGCATGAATTTACCTATTGCCAGTAGTGGGGGGAAGAGACGTTTCAAAGGGGAGTGTGCTTGTTTCACATTTTTTCCCTTCCCCCAGTACATTTGTGCATCTTTTCATTTTGTTCATACTTGCTTTTTTTTTTTTTTTATCTCTGTTATTTGTGTAGTCTTGTACAAATGGCTAGAAGCAGATCTCCATGGCAAGAGCTCAGATGCTACAAACAAAGCCTCAGGTAAACAGGGGTTAAGGACAAAACAATCACCAGACCCTCTGGATCTCTCTATTTTCCATCTTTCAGTTTCCCTTGGATCAAATTAAGGGTCAGATTTTAAAACTGCACCTTTTCATTCTCTTACCTAATTTGAATCAATATCTGGTAAATTTTATTCTTCTCCCTGAAGCTCTCTTGGCAGATGTGTTTCCCCTCCCCAAAGAAATGCCTCTAGCAGCGTCAAGTGAACTGATGGGTATATGATATGCTAGCTTTGGTGTGTGCTTGGTAAAGGCCAAAAGATATCTTGTATATTAGTATACTAATTTTATTTATTAGTATACTAATACTAATATACTAATTGCGAGGATACTGCAAGGTCCATCTCCACCGGTTCTTGCTAGATACTCCTTCAGACTCAGCTCCTGAAACCTAAAGGCAGCATATTTTAAATTTTAGATCTAAATAACAACATTAGTGAGGTCTACATACACACAAATAAAAAGCTAAACAGCACAGACGTATTGGTGGGGCACACAGCCCACT